TGTTCCCGAGGCGACGCGAAGCGCGTGCCGTTATACCGTGTCTCTGGCTCTTCGATAGGATTAGAAATCCCGGGCTTATACCGCGTGACTATTAAGCGACTTGCAAATTACCCTTATCCAGTCTTGTCGTTAAACGAGCGCCGTCGACGGTCGGCGATACGCTCGTTCGCCGACGATATCCAGCCGCGATTAGTCGACTTCTGTAGCGCGGCGTTAGAGACGGATGGGATAATCCGATAATTCCATTAACCCGCATTGTAATGCCATAAAGTTTCGCCTTAAACCGCCGGCGCAACCGCCACCGCTATCAGCGGCGACTTTAACTATCGCGCCGCCGAAAATTACGCGTCGTCCCGTTTCGAAATCGCGCGCATCTCCGTAAAGATTCAAAGAGTTTGTCTCGTGTGTTATCGAATTTCCCTCTCATCACACATTTTTCCTCAATATTCCCCTACGACGAGACGAGACGGGATTCGATTATCATGCCGCTCCAACAAATCCGAAAAATCGTTTATTCGCAAATACGATCTAACGTGCTATTAAATGGAATTTTTCGAAAATAGCCAATGAATACTGTGGCAGTTTGTTTTTAAATGTAAAACACTTTTTTAAAAGTTATACAATATTTTTTTTTTAATAAATAACAGCGTAACGATTTTAATAAACTCATTTTAGGCCAATGGCTTGTTCTAAGTGCTATCTTTTGATGTATTACTTCATAATTACTCGAAAAGCAATCGCTTTATGTAATGCCACTTCAATGCAACGCGCGGTGCGAAGCGGGAAATAGCACAAAACAGAAGAGGAAATCGATCAGCAGTTTGCTCGCGCGCGGGTCACGAGTGAACAATCTTGATTTATGACCGAAGCTAAGCGACGGACTCGGCTGAAGCCTTCCGACCTAATTTACGATTAAGTCGTCATTGTACGTGGGTTTTTTCCACTCTAGAAAGAATGGGAGGAAATATTGTCCCCGACAGAACGCCAACCGACAATTTCGTTGAACGACCGGACTCGATTCTTCGTACCCTTTCCTGTTTATTCCACGCTTCGCTTCGTTGAAGGCGCAGCGACTAAACTCCGAGAGCTCTTGTATTCGCATGCCGCGCCAGTCCGGGGATCAAGCTTCGTCCCCTTCGAGCGAATTCAATCCGACCCAACTCGGTAACTCGGTGATCCTACCTCCGCTTTGTTCCGAGCGTCGCAATTTATCCCTTGTTAGTCGACGGAATTCGACGAAGCAGTCGAATCCCGGGTTTTCGGCCGCTTATCGAACCGGATGCAAATTTCGCGAGAAAAGCTTCGTTACGAAGAGAAAGTTCGGGCGCAACGAGAATTTATCGCATATCGATAATATCTCACAAAAATCAGCTATTTTCATTCTAAATACTCCTAAAAAAAAAAATATCTACACTTAATAATTTCATCAATTTGTTACGTATTTTTCGACGATCAAATACAAATACCAATTACGCGCACAAAAAAAAACACGCAGAATAATTAAATAAAATCATCAATGAAAATAATACATCAGTTTGTAATCAAATAAGAAAAGAATGGAGGAATAAATAAATTTTAATTAAATGCAAATAATTCTCCCGTTATCGTTGGGGATGAATGTTTGTGTGCGGCATGAGTGTAAGGTAAATGTTTCTTCTGCTTGTCGCGAATTTTTCTCGTTTCTGTGCTGAAAATTGAATTTGTCGAAATTGCATCGATTTTTAAATACGCGCACCGGACTCTCGAGTTATACAACGGCGCGACTCTCTCGATTCTCTGAAGTCGATTACCCGCGACGTCTAATATCGATCGCGGCGGCAAGAAATTATCCACGTTTCTCGATGTAAACTACGCTATTTGGCGGCGATGTAACAAGAGAATCGAACATCATTGCGCTGTTATTTCATCGCGAATGACACATCGCGACTAAGGACGGGCAGTAGTAACAGCTTTGCATCCGGTATCCGGACGATGTGTTGCGTATCGTCAACCATTCGTGTAACTCGCTTCTGTATACAAATAGAATTTCCGGGTGCACAGCTCCCCGATGATGTTTACAAAGACCGATTATTCGCCTGCGCTCTTTGTGTGAATCACGAGGTATTACACTTCATCGCGCGCGGATTGCATGCAACGAAGAAAAGGTTGGTGAAACGACGACGCGCGACGTACAAAAAGAATACGTTTCCCAAGTCTTTGAAACTTCGCGCTCCCACTTTCGGTCAACATTTTTTTTACAAACCTTCGCAAATTTTCAAATATAAATAAATTCACATGGAAATTCGAGCTCTTACTTGAACGAAACAAACGAAAAACGCGCCAGTTTCCGCATGAAGGTTGAAAATATAAGCGCTACGTGTGCAAAATCTCGCACACTATGTAACTCGTTGAGATGCAAAAAAAAAAAAAAAAAAAAAGAAAAAAAACAACGCGTTATTACTATTTATAATTTCCCGACGGAAATTTTCACGCGCGCGCACGTCAGCGTTGTTAGCCGTGCGAAATTACATCGCTAATACGGCAAATTACGAGCGCGAACATATGTTGTAGCAAACTTAGTTGAAACGCGCGAATTATGCCGGTTACTTCGTTAAGCAGAAGAATCCGCGCGGCGGACGGCGGATTAAGTTTTTCAGCCGAAAACGCGCATTAGCTTGATAAACGCGGCGGCGGTGTCCATAGACCGCGAAGTAGTTTGTGTTTCGGTAATTTACAGTCACTTCGCTTGCACGGCACGTCGCCCGGTCGCACCGCGGGCACGCAGTGCGCGCGACGAGGTGTCGTGCATGCGCAACAAAATTGTAAGTTAACTACGTAATTCGTTTACTAATTATCGACACACCGCGTGGCGTGCAATAACAGTCGTTATTATCCCCCGCATTCTCGATAAGCTCAACGCGTATAATTGAGAAAGCATGACGCGTTTGAGTATAGTCGCAGCTGTCGGCCGCACTATCTCCTGACATTATCGCGGCTAATGGAGCTTGCTGCGAAATTTGCTTACGAGATAATTATCGGCGAGAGACTAGCTAATTATTTTTTTCATGCTCACGTGAATCAGTCATTAGATGAAAGTTATTATCAGTTCGCACGTTGTGAGAAATCACAATCTTCTATAGAATTAATCTGCAATTAATTAATGTAACTGAAGCAGGAAGTAAAAGTAGCCACCGTATGAGCTAAAACATCCGATGGTTGATTCGAATAATTTAACGGTGCGAGTCTCTCTCTCTGAATAGTAAGAGCAACTCGTTTTTGTCGTGGAAACGTGCATTACCGTAATGATTCAACGGGACGGCAGCCGCACGAATAACGCTGTTTCGTTAATTTTCATTTGCGTTTCCGCACTGCGTCTCCGAGACGCATCTCGCGCCGAAAAACCTGATAAGAGAACCACGGGAGAGCACACGCTCGAGTTAACCGGCCAAGTTAACCGCGTCCGGTGCACTCTCTCTAATCATCGTAGGCACCGTGAGTGCTTTTACCTATCCTACTCACTTTTTTTCTTCCCGCAGTTACATCCTTATTCATATAGAGAGGCCACCTATTAGACCTTCCATTATTCTAATTATATCGCGGAAGAGCGAAGCGGGAGCGCCGGAAGAACATCGCGAAATATATTAGCGTAGATTCTACAGGACACAGAGAGAATGAGGTTAAGGCACCGATCGAAAATCCAAGAACATGCTGTTGACCATCGTCGCGAGGATCTTTTTCTGGCTTCCTCTAAACTCGATATTCTATTGGCGGTATAATAGACGTTATCGCGACGCGCGCGCAAAAACATTTCGCGTGCAAAGTCGGTAGAATATGTCGCCGATGTTCCTTCTCCGCCCACTCGTCGTACTATTTTCGGGACGACGACGACGACGACGACGACGAGGACGACGACGATGACATTGTTGGCGATAAACGCCGCGAGAAATATGGGACACGGTTTAATGGATTTGTTTTATTATTCCGCGTTTCGTCGGATCGATGTAACGCGTGCGGCGCGCGAAAACGTTTCATATTGGATCTCGGCGCAGTTTTAATCCGACAGCGATAAAATATTGAAGCAAGATATGGAATTTATGTGCGGCACAGTGGATATATGTGTATATGGGTTTGGGGCGAAAATAAATATGGCACGGGGAACGGACGTCATAAATCTGGAGGCGGTAAAACGTTCAAAACGCGCTTTGAACGTTTATTTCCGCGAATTTTCGCGCCCCGTATTTAGGAACGGGGCACCCGAATCAACCCGAAGAAGTCTGGAATTCGATTATGAAATGCAATTTGAAAGCCGCGATAGTTCCCGCCGAAACCCTATGATTTTCATTCTGACGTTCGCGCTCTCTCTCGAGTTCCACCTCGCTGCAAACGTTCAAAATAATATATCGCGCGTTCCGCTCTTGGCGCGAATATTTCGACGAATAATTTTGAAAATCCCCCATAAAATTTCTGTTGTACATATTCACAGTTATGCATATCCCGTATTTATTTATTAATTACGTTCAATTTTGAAAAACTAGTATTGCATTGTAAATAAAATTTCTTAAAAATTTCTTGAATTATTCACATTTTAATTAAAAAAAAAATTTACCGGAGATATTTATCGAATTTTTAATTGAAAAAAAGTTCTTACTTCTATTTTTATCACATGCGGGATATAAAAATCTTATTTAAATAAAATATACGAACACAACTCGTCGTTATTTATGCGTTTTCATACGCGAAGGTTTCTTACGCGACGTTAAAAAGAATTCAATTGAAGTTTAAGAGAGAGAATATAGTCACTGCACTTGCTTCCTTTTCATGTATGTAGAAACGCGCGTTTTATCCGCACTCGAAGCATCCGCACCTAACGACTTTCGCTCTGAAAGCTCTCTGAAAAGTGCAGTGGTATGCGCACTCGAAAAGAATTAATAAAATATTCAGCAAGAAAGAGCGCGAGGAGGGGAGAGGGAAAACCGCTTGAATCTAGCTGCTCTTATTGGCGACGATACGAGGCACGAGGAAAAGCGACGGAAACATGTCTGTGATCAACCGATAGAAACCCGAGCCGTTCCCCGAATCTCCGCAACGCTCCGCCGACGTACAAAAGTTATGAGCTAAATCCCGCAATTCCAAGTCGGAGAGTCGTCGTGAAAATCTCCGGTGCACGATTCACCGTCGTTCGAGATGTCAGTGATTTAACCTCGAGCGCGGAGAAAGAAGACACATCGCGAGTTACTTTAAAAGCGCAAAAGGTATCCGAGAGATGATCGTCGCGCAATCTCCTCCGTGAAATTTATTCGAATTTCCTCGGCGCGAGACGGGGAAAAACCGCGCGCGCGCGCGTAAGGTAACTCGCGCGTGTGCACGCGCGCGAGAAAATATGCTGAGCGCCGTGGACTCCATTATTATTAGTACTCATAAAGCGAGCGCGTAACTCGCGGCAGAACGCTCGCAGGCGTTATTTCAGCGTTTAATTGTATTAGCGCGCGACGGCGATTTAACTCGGCGATTTATCGCACGCTCCGAGGGATTTATCGCGCTGTTATGCACGCGAGAGATTGTCCTCGCGTCCTCGTCCTGTCGCACGCGTGCAACATTCGGATTTTGCCGGTGACGCTGTCAACCGGAATGAGCGTGCCTTCCGCGCGTCATCGCTCACTCCCGTCAGTCCCGGTGACATTGTCATTTGCGGGAAACGTGTATGTATATACATCGAGCATTTGTAAAAGCACGTGTAAAATGATTTTACACGAAATTTACAGAAATTCATTTCATTGTTTGTGATTACGTGAAAAAAAAGTATATCATACATATTTGCGAAATATTAAATAAAATAATTTTATTAAAATGCGATCGGTTTGTTAAATGAAACTGACGTAATAGTTTATACTTTTTCAAAAGTTGAGTACGCGCGCGCGCGCGTACAAGAACATCAGTCAACATTTGTTCGCCCGGTCTAAACCACGCATTCCACGCAAGCGTGCAAACTCACTTCGCATACATCAGAACCTCCAATAACACACCACGCGCGTCGATCCTCGGACACATAACTCGGATCCCAAAATTGTTTGCATAGTTCGTTAAACGTGTTACACCCACGTGCGCACAAAAGGGGTGGTGGACTTCTCGAATCAATTATCGACGGGGCATTTCGCCTTAGACACACACGTGTGGTCCCACGATATTCACGCGAGCGTTACGCTAAATGAACGCAATTAGCCGTTAATCGAGTGGCAGAGATATCGCGCCGGGGACAGAGAGTTCCAGTTTAATCCCGAAGTCGAAGTCGCATTACCGTACGCGCCGCGGGGAAAACGGATCGTCGCGTTAATTCACGACGCGGCCACGTCAGCCGTCTGATAAATTTATAAATGACGAGCCACGTTGACGAATTACGACAAATCGCCGTAATTTACCATCGCACGTTCGTTGATATTAAAAGAGAATCCGGACGAACACGGACCGGCGCCACAATGGAGTCCGCGCGTCAGGATAAGAAGTTTCAATCCAGTTGGAAATTGCCTTCCTCCATCTCGCTTGACCCGGAGAGAAAGGACAGCCCGGCGAATCCTTATCATCGATCCGTTCGCGGGACGATGACGAGCCCGAAGCGGACGGTTCCAAACGCGAGCGACAATGAAAGCGACATCGTCAGCGGCTTGCCGGAATTCGAGTGCGATGTGATCGCGAGTTCTTGTTTGTCTCGAGAAACCAGAGATTCTTCGGACAAAACGAGCGCCGTGAGACACCGCAATGAGGACAAAGAGAGAAGAGAGGCTTATTGGAAAATCAAGGCAAAAGTGGAAAACGCTGTTAAGGTAACTTTGACGAGGGATCACCCAAGTGAGCGAGTTGATGATATTTTCTGTTTATCCTCTTCGCGCGCTCTGAGAGAGAGTTATTTATTATCTTTATAATGTTAATAAGTATGTACAAAGAGACGCCCGGGGTATATAATTAATGCGCGTTCTTTGTGATTAATATCAACGCGGTTTCCAGAGACACAAGATATTCCTCATACGCGGCGAGCTGCCAAGACTGAAGGAGGCGCTGGAAGCGCGGGGTTGGGTGCACAAATATGAGCCGACTAGGATGAGAATGTTGCCCTACGGTTAGATTGTTTGCGGACGATAAAGTTAAATGCGCACCGACGGCGGAATAGCGCGCCGGAGAATGAAATATCGTCGCTAATGTCTACCATTTTCTGTGTGCTTTCGACGATTAGGCACCACCGCGGCTAACCTGGAAGCTCACTCGCTGGGCGATATCACGCAAGCGGATGGCACGCTGAACGAGAAAGCCGTGATTTTTGCCCTTCTGCGCGACAGGCAGCCCGACTTCATCTGGGACTGCAGAAATGAGTTTATCGAGTGGCATCGGAGCATCCAATCCGACGTTATTCTCAACAAATATCAGAGGTCTTTCGTTTACACCTCAAAGGTATCTTCTCTTTGAACGGGATGTTGTTGAATTTCGAATGCAAATTTTGTCAAATTTCTTTCTCTCTTTTCCGAGAAATTTTTCACAACACTGCTCCATCTTTATAAAATATATGAATATTTCCGGAAATATATTTATTTAATTTTCCGCTCCCGCGTCTCACATTACATCGCGTTTCCAAACACACTTGTCTCGCAAAATCGCACGTTTTACGCGGTGATATCATTTATAGAACCGACATTGCGAGATCTTTGAATTCCCGATAGAGCGTCGTCGGGAATAAAAAGGCGGAATCGCGGTGGAATATTGTCGTCGCGTATTCTACTTCGGTAAGTAAAACGTCCTCGAATTGCCGTGCACGTGTGTATATGCAGCTTGGAATGGCGCGCTCGCTGGCGGACGCGTATTGGCTGCACGAGGAGAACGTGTCCAGCGTTCTGTACCCGCGCAGCTACAGCCCCAGCACGGATCGACGAGCGTTTCTGGAAGACTTCCGTCTGACCGCGGCCGCGGGTTTGCTCAAGTGGTTTGTTTGCGGCATGAACGCGGCCGAGAAGATCCTCGTGAGCGATATGGCAACGGGAGGACGACGAGCGATCTCGATCGCCAGGCTGGAGTTCGCACTCGAGCGTTGTCGGAAGTTCATCTCCGATGCGACTCACGAGGACCTCGACGCGGATGAAGGCGAGCAGCGGCAGCAGCCGTCCGACGAGGAGTGGGAACTTTTTCTGGACGATTTCACGGCGGCGCTTCACCACGGAGCCGGAGTCGAGTGCTCATCGGAAGACAATAGCGAGCGTCTTAAGGTAGAAAAATTCTCGCAGTCAACCGCAGCGACAAGCGGTTTCTCGACCTTATTATTACGTGCGACGTGTGAAAAATCCGACTCGCAACTCCGAATGGAATTAATCAATCTAGTTCACCTTCCTTATTACATCTGGCGTAATAATAACTCATTTACTGTCGGATTATCGCGAGAAATCACGGTCGAGCGATTAATAATAATATCCATTTGCGCGCGTTTTCTGCTTGATCGCGGTTATCACCGCGTTTCTCGTGCACACGTCCAGCATTAAATTAATTAATTGCGCCAAGTAAAATACAGAGAGAGAGATAGAGAGAGAGAGAGAGAGAGAGAGAGAAAGAGAGAGAGAAAGAGAGAGAGAGAGAGAAAGATAGATAGATAGGTAGATAGAAAAAGAAAGAGATCTGGATCCATTAATTTTAGTGAGCTAAAATTTTGTGTTATTTTTTTTTTTATCGTATAATTTCATTAAATGCCTCATAACGTAATCTGTTTCTGTTATTGCGAAATAACGACGGCAGTTTCGTTGCTCCGCGGATTTCAATTAAATTAGCAGCTTGCACTTAATAGCTGCGGCATCCGGCGTCTCTTCGGAGTGATACGTTTCGTTTGATTCACTTTATACGCCGCTGAGATGTTCGTGGTGCGATGTTCACCTTCTCGAGAAGAAGAGAGAATTCTTTAGAACGAGAAAATTCTTTTAGACAAAAGCGTCCCAAATCGATTGTTTTAGAGAGTGGCGTGTTTATTTCGCGCTTCCACCTTCTCTTACCTACTCCTTTCCAAAAGCCAATTCACTCGCGCTAATAATAGACGCGATTACGGCGTTAGTGTAGCATAGGCAACAAAACCAAACTGTGTTAATTATTCAAGGCGCACGAAAACATTCTTGAATTAAACATGCTCCAAGATACTGCCGTGCGATACCATTAATCCTTAACTGATGAAACGAAATTAAAGGGCTCACGATAATGAAACGTTAAGCCGCGCGAGATGTACACAAGATGCTTAACTGATGCTTAACTTATTGATTTTGCGAGTCTCTCGTGTGTCGGAGGGATCGTGTATATCAGATGTCATATTTCGCTTGATCGCAAAATATTTGACGACAGGCGAGTTCTCGTTTAATTAAGGCAGCCTTGCGAAAAAGAGAGACGCGAGATCTGTTGATTCATTGCAACATCGGCGCTTCTAAGGAGTTTCCTCGTAAATCAGAAGGCGCCAAATACGTGCTTATCGCGATCTCTATTAAGGTCGCTACCGGAAGCTCTCCGGTCAAAGGAAGTGCTCAATTGACACGTATTCGAGGGTTGCTCGCGTTACGGGCAACGAACTTCTCGCACACGCGCGACCCAGGTCTTCTTCTTCTTTGGCGTCTGAGCACGGGGGATGAGTTTCTTGAAATTCGTCGTCTCGTCCGACTCTTTCGTTCACGCGCGCGTTTTTCCCGATCGAGACGTTTCCGCGATTTCATTAAATTAATTTCGCTTCGACGATCGTCAAAATGTAGCCACATCCCGTCCCCAACCGTAGAAATTCGATTCGATAAATTTATTCCGAACTTTCCGAAATTAAAGTCGGTCATCCGCGCGCCCACCGAAATCCCAAAACTCCTCCGCCGCATAAATCGATATCAATATCGCTCGCTCTCGCAGAGATGCTTCTCGATCGCGGCGATAACTCTGGAGAGATTAAAGACCGTCGATCCGCAGTACAACGTGAACGGTATGAGAGGCATCTGGATCCTGAAACCCAGTCATTTGTGCTGCGGCAACGGCATTGTTATATCTCACAGCCTCAAAGACGTCTTGCGCAGGGTCGAGGAGAAGCCAAAGGACTACTACATCGTTCAGAAATACATCGGTACGATCTCTTCTCGTATATACAAATATCATCCGCGAAGAACATTGTCAAATCTAATCGCGTCATTTGAATTCCAGAATGTCCTCTTTTGATCAAAGAGACCAAGTTCGATATAAGACTCTGGTATCTGGTGACAAATACCTTTCCTCTCACGATATGGCTGTTCAAGTAATTTGTATTAAAAACATTTTGTGTTAAAAAATTCTATTCCAATGTGTCAAAAAACGAAACGTTCTTTTATATTCGTAAAAAGTTGCAACTTTTGCGGCAGCATTCAATGTGCAAAATTTTGTTGTTGTTAAACAACATACCGATTGCGGTTTTTGGCGTCAATATATCGAGGTTTCGTTTTTCGAGTTTGTTTATGTTTATTTTATTCGATTAAAAACAAATGTTGACTTTAGCATCTCTCTCTCGCCTTCGTTACAATCTATCCGTTCCTCGTTCAGAGAGGCGCTACTTCGCTTCAGCTCCAAGCCGTACACCTTCTCCACCTATCACGAGACGATTCACATCTGCAACACAGCCGTCCAAGAGAAGTACAGCGAGTACGAGAGGAGACGCAGGCTACGTAGCGTCCAGGATAGATCCGAGGAATCCGCCAGATCGGTGCGCGATCAAGGATGGGACTGCGAGAAGCTGAACGAGTATTTGAAGTAATCCTCTCGTCCGCGTCGAGACGTTTCGATTATCCATTCGTCACACCACCGGTCGGCAAGCCACCTCGGCAAGGTCCTGGGGGCATTTTCCCGGAAATTGACAGGAAAAGAGGGAAGGGGAGGGTTGTCCCGTGTGCAAATACGTCTTTCTGAAGGAAAAGGAGTGTGCACCGAGATTCTTCGAATCGTGCGTGTTCCGAAAAATCATGCGGGCGCCGTTTCGCGCGCTGACAATAATAGCCCCGCCGTTCGTTCTCACCTCTCCGGATGACAAATCGAACAAAATTTTTTGATGACGCGACGTACATACATTCAACGTCCGAGTAATTGCGAATAAAACGAGAATATATATTATTCACGGTGTTGCTCGTGAACGAAGGTCTGATGTATCGGTGTAACAATTGTTCGGCAAAAAATCGTCGTCTCCGAATGCCCGAGTGCATTCTACCGAAGAGTCCGTTCCATTTCGACGATAATGACTTCGCCGTCGGTTATTCTTGCTACGCACCAGTCGAGCCAAATGATGTCTCAATAATGATTGAATATTGGAAATCAGAGTAATCGGAGATAAAAATAAAGTGTTTTTATTATTTATTTATGTATATACAAATTTGCTTGTTTACTCTAAAAATAGATCCAGAATGATTTTTCTCAAAAAATTATTATCTCAGTGTTTCAATGCAGTTTTTAATTCTCGATATTTTTATACGCATTTTGTATGTATTCAATTTATTATTAAAAATCGCGTAACTTCTTTCTGACAATAAATAACAAAAAAATTGTTTTTTCTTTTTTTGAATATCAATCTATTCATCGCAAAAATGTATTTTTCTAGCGCGATGATATCCAATATTAAAACCTCACAATAGGTTTATAGTTATTATTTATTTCGAAGACTTAGTCGAATCTGTGTAAACCAATTCAGGTATTTGTAAAACCGTGGTTTATTTACAATAATTGCATTTTTCAATGAAACACGAGCTTTCGTTTTGATTATTGATGTTGAGTAACTCTCCATTACATGTAGACCACAAATGTTTCAATTTCTCACTATTCATGCTTTTTCAGCAAAAATTTGTCAAATGCACACTGAAATACATATGTATTATTCATCTCATGCGTTTCAATTTATTTGAAATGAAAACACACTTAAATCATTTTTACTTACGTGTAATGTGAGTGTTTTCAGATGTTTCAAGTTTTTCCAAACCGCGATATCAACCACTGTGCTGTAACAAACTGAGTAATTTGGTGTTATTTTTATAAACAAAACGTTTCTCAATATCGCGCTGTGGATTCTACTATTTTAATTTACACGATAACATTATTTATATGTTAATTAAGGTAGATTTCGTCCGTTCGTAATTATTCGGACGTCAAATATATTGCGTCAGCTTACATAAAAACGCAATCGAGCAACTGAGTCCACTACTCTTAAAGTAATTGAATAACACAGAAAAGTCACTTATTTACGGAGAATTTCGAAACTAAAACAGCATTTATGTAAATATGAAAAATTTCCTTTTAAATTCGCAGAAAGCACAAATATCAAAAATAATGTTTGTTATTGTTGTTTTAATATCCAAAATAATGAGTTAATAGTCTATTATTTTAGATCCATAGGCCATAAAGGCGAGCCGTATTACGATCAGATTTATCCGAAAATGGCGGAGGCAATTATTCTGACGATGCTGGCAGCGCAGGATCGTATGGAGAGGCGGCGTTGCAGCTTCGAACTGTATGGCGCCGATTTTGTAGTGGCCGAGGACAAGTCGGTCTGGCTAATCGAGATTAACACCAATCCACGCATGCACCCGCCCAGTTCGAGGATTACAAAGCGTCTCTACGACAACGTACTGGAAAGCCTGGTGAAAGGTGAGACAAGGAAATGCGATCCGGAACACACATGCGGGAATTGTCGAGTGTCTTGTCACAAGGGAAAAGTTCTTTCGGAACGACAGACGACTTGAACAGATGAGAAGGAAATCACAAGGACACCGATCTGCGCACCATCAATACTTCCTTTTTCTCTTTCTCTCTCTGTCTCTCTCTGTTTCTCTCTGTCTCTCTCTCTCTCTCTCTCTCTCTCTCTCTCTCTCTCTCTCTCTCTCTCTCAGGAATCACAAGACCGCAGCTTGTGATTAGACGAATTACGCGTCGCCCAGGCCCGAGACGTCTCTCTCCCTCGACTCGCCCGAGTGATAACGGCGGCCATAATTCGCGGCGACGTAACGCCGATAAGCGCCACGTGCCCTACGTGATGGATTTACGCAAGGAATTAACCGCGTTAGCGAGATTTCCCCGGTGCAATTATCGAGCGCGAAATGGCCAAACACCTGATCGCGTCGATTATGTCTTTTATCTTCACGATTATAATAACAATCGACGTGAAGTAATTTTATTCACATACTTTAATTGTGAAGAACGTATTATATCTTTCAGATTTTTTTCACGATATTTCCACCGCTCTCTAGAAGAGTTTATGTAATTATAAAGTCATAAAAAGTCGTCGTAATATTTGTACTGCATCTCACAATGTCGAGTATACGAGATGGCAAAGTAAAGCGGAATTTATTTTTGAAACTCATCACAACTCTTGTAATATAAAATTTGATTTTAATAGGATGCACATATTAAAGCAAGCAATATCCAGTAAAAATATCGGTTCTGTAATAATAAAATTCTCTTATTAAAGGACTATCAATAAAGTTTTAAACGTTGAAGCTTTGTGAGTCATAACGTAGCATAATAAGCTTGCATAATGAGCTAAATTTCTGGAGTAGTCCAGTCCGCGGGTGGAAGATAATTCTATGCGTTTTCGATCCTTTGTTCTTTCTATGGATGGCTTTTTATTATTGAATTTCACAGTTCTATCTTTATTATGAATGTTAAATGTATTTCGTTTGCATTAATAATAAACCCAGCCTTTCGTTTAATTAATATTCGAATATATAGTTTTTTTCAAGTTCGTATCTTGACGCATACGTATATCGAGAAAAAATATTTAACATTTATAAATGGATTAGCATATTATCACTTTTGTGATAATAGCGTATGTGCAAAAACTCCGAAAGCTTAAATTGACTTTCCAATAATTGAAGATAAACAGAAATGCCCACTTTTCACGTTCGAAAATATTGAATGCTAATTTGCTAATTTCAACGTCCGGCATAAATCACAAAATGCTTTTGCTAATATTGCAATCTAAATGAAATCCATTAAATCTAACTAAAATAAAACTTAAAAATACAACAGGTAGATATATACACACGTACAATTTAACAAAAACATAGTTGCAAACTTCGTTGCGTTCTAGTTACACAGCGATTTTAGTAACATAATGTCTTAAAACCTTTCGATCGCTTTGTTTCCAGTGATAATGGACGTGCCGGTGAACGCTTACGCCGACACGGGAGGCTTCAATCTCGTCTACAAACAGAACATACCTGACTTCCAACCTTACCTCGGCCCCTGCCTTTTCGTAACGGGCAAGTCGATGACTCTGCGCCAGTCGCAACCGGTGGAACAAACGCCGGAGAAAGAAAAGCGGGCAAACATTTGCGGTCCTTGGAGTAGCACGCAGCAACGTGCAAGAATCGCACCGCCCATCTCACGCTCGAGAAGATCGGACGTGGTCGACCTTATTGACTATTTCAGCACCGTGCGATGTACCGCGATCAATTGATGCGACGTCTTTTCTCTCTTCTCCCATAGGACAAACAGAAGTCCGATCCTCTTCAGAAGTCAAAGCGCTCTTTTTTCCTTTCCAAAGGTGAATTCTACTTTTGTGTGTTTGTCCCCGCGACACTTTTATAATTTCACTACAAGATATAGTACATACAAATTTTCGCACCGCATTTATCTCAATTAGTCTCGCATGAATTTATAATAACGAACGACCTGCTGAATTTTACAGACGACCGTGTTAATGTTCAAAATAGTGGACGTTAAGAGGTATATAGAAGACTCTTGGTTCTGATTAATCGAGAGCATTGCCGCGCGATTGAACGCGAAATTTACGCGTCCGTATTTTTTCACGGTAAATTTAGCACCGCGCTGTAATTAACGAGCGCGAGATAGCGTGGTGTAATTAATGTTGTCATTAGCGATGGTGTCTCCGCGCGCGCGTTTCTTCTTTCCGCGTCCCCGAGGAAAATCGCGCGGCTGCGAAGGTGCGCCGCGGTATTAAGCAAGGCGCGATGTAAACTTCCGCGAAATATAATGAGCTAAACTTCCTCCGCGTCGCGATCGATGCGACACTTTTGAGAAAAATTTGCGAAGCGCAATAATAACGACCGCGCGATGATTTTTCACGTTTTCTTTTTTTTTTTTGTTCCAGAAAAATAGCAAATTACTTATTCAACGCACAACATGAGAAAAAAAAAATAAAATTTGTTTGAGGAAATAAAGAAAGAAAATTGTTTTCTTTTTCCAACTCTAAGTGAATAAAATTTCATTGTACCTTTTTCTTTTTTCAACGAATCGTCTTATTCTTTTGCATCGGCGCAGTCTCAACAGAAGCGAACGACGACGGCTTGGCTGACTCATGCAAAAACCAGACGATCAAGATAAAGACAATTGTTTTATTGATATGTACATACAATAAATTTATTTACAAATAATACAATAAATTTTGACGTCGTAAGTTATTCGTTCTTGATGATATACGTTAACAAAATACTACGCTCTTACCGATTATTGTGCCGTGCTGATATCTGAAAATTCTTTGGTCACGGAAGTTTTTCTCGTTTTTTTTTGTTTTCGTTTCTTTTTAATGTAAATGGTAAGTGTTCGGATTTTTTTTTTACCCTGCACAAATAGTTACCCAAAAAACGTTAACGACGTTAAATAGGCAAACCGCGGCAATCGCGCTTCGTTTTTGTCGGGGTAAGGGTGAGATTTCCGTTACTCTCTTCCCGTTCTTATATAAACATTATATTAGCTATCACTAACATTATAAAACAAATCGGCCGTGCCTTGCTGTACGACGAGGTTCCGTCGCCATGGTGCATCGCGGCTGGATGTTCCTCTGCAACAGAAATTGATTTTGATTCAAAAAAGCGATTTCAATGAGAGCAAAAAACATGTAGTAGACACAATTTATAAACTTTACATAATTATGTAAAATTTCATATAATTTTGTCATCTGTAACAAAGATTTGTCGTTCACTTCGGTTTTTCAATTTGCAGAATTACAAATAAAACTTGAGATATATAGATCCTAGCAGAAAAGGCGTGTGTAAATAATCACAATCGATTCTATTGATCTTGATTGTTGCCGTTTCTAACTTGACGCTGATTGGACGATTCTAGAATGTATTTTTCGATTCATGTTGTACGATTCATGTTCACTGACCTCGGCCGCGCGATCGCGACAGGGTCACTGACCTCGGCCGCGCGACCGCGACGGGGTCACTGACCTCGGCCACGCGACCGCGACGGGGTCACTGACCTCGGTCGCGCGACCGCGGCAGGATCACTAACTTTGGTGATTACGGTATATATATATGTATGTATATATATGTATCATATATGGATATAGAATATTATATATAATATTCTCTTTTTTACTCTTTTCTCTGTCACGTGACTTTAGTCACATGTTGTTTTTCCACTTCTCCCTGTCACATAACTTTAGTCGCGTTTTTAATAACACGTGACAAAAGTAAAGTCACGTGACTTTAGTTTAGTTTAGTTTTTAAAGACACGTAACTAAAGTACAGTCATGTAAGTTTAGTTATGTGTTGTTTTTCATTCCTCCTCTCTATTTTTCGAGTCTGATTTTCATGCGTTATTTCTGACACCTTTCATATGTGTATTTTATGGTTTGTAAGACGTATATACTAGCTGTTATCGCGGTGACAGGTTGTATTCACTGACACAACACGTTAAAATAAAAATAATAATATCGTGCGCGTAGCACGCGTCTGTGTTGTGCTAGTATAAAAAAAAGTAAAAAACTGTCTCGATATTGTGATTTCAGTCGTGATAATTCGCGTGCACTTTACGATGGTACATACAATTTAAATCACATAATCTGTGGCGCGACCTGAGAGCTAGGAAATACTGACTCCATCGTAAACCGATATAAATTTCTTGCAAGTTTCAAATTAATAATGCGCCAAGCGTTTAATCGGTTCAAACGACAGATTAAATTGCAGCCATTGATACACAAGATGAGTATCAACGCTTTCTGCGAATTACACGGATAGGACTTTAATGAGAGAGCAGAGTAACATCAAAGCTTTTGGGCATTGACATGAAATTTTGAATATACAATACACATAGAGAAAGAAACGCGATTATTCTGCTTTTTTCTGTGTAAAAACAAGCGATTGTTGTTACATGCAAAAATATTTGAACAGAAATGCATTGTCTGTTGAATTAGAGAAAAAACGATATACGCGAGAACGAAGCGATGAATGGATGATGCCGACATGATGACGATAACATATCATCTACCATCGTATCTGTGTCGGCGCATATCGATGGACCGTTTCATCCGGACCGATCTGTTACCTACTGTTCTAAACAGGTGATGCTTCAAGTTAGTAATTAATACGTCCGCTCTCTGATTACGGCTTAATTATTATGACTATTCGTCACGAATTGTCGAACTAAGAGAGAATTGCAGATAATTCTTCACAAAAGTAAAGTAAAAAAATATGTTTTATCATAATAATTAAATTTTGAAAAATGTTTCTGGCTTTTTAAACGTGTACATTCTCTCTTTCTCTGTCTCTGTCTTCATAAATATCTTTTTTTTCTTTTAATTTAGTGACAAATATCGACCGATCGCGGAATAATGGCGCGACATTTAGAGACAATCAAACAATTCGCGCAATCAAGCTCTAAGCTTCGCGTAAAGTCGCAACTCGCGCTTGATTGCTCATCGTGCGAGAGGTAAACCCGGCAAATCCCAGCCGCTTCAAAAAATATATCGAGTTACGAACAAAACGGACAAAAAACTTTCTTCCTTCGGGGATGGACGGAACAATCCGCTTTCGTTTGATTTTATTTCGCCCCGTAACCGGACGCAGCCGGAAATTGCGCGAGATTCCGCGCGGGAATCAGGCTTTAAATCGCTTTGTCATCTCGAATTGGCGCGTCTCGTACAAGCAAGAGAAACAAACAAAAACAAGATTTCGAAATCCGCCGCATTTCGCAGTTGCACACGTGAAGAGAGATCTATTCGCGATGGTTCCGCGCGCGTTCGACCAACATCCACTTCTGGTCGCAGTCATCGATTTCTCGCAGACTCAACACACAATTTGTCGAGTAAATTTCGTATAGCTTGCAATATTTACAAAGAAGTCAATCAACGTTACTTCTCTGCGGCATTTCGCGCAAGTTCTCCCGTCATCGTGAGACGCGGCCTACGCAGTTTCTCTCAACGCAATGGCAATTGCAGTGCAAAGTCGCTCATGTCTTGAATTTTTTTTCCAATTTACTCAAAGCCCGCAAAATGCAACTCCAAAATTGGAAAAAAAAAATTTCAACAAAGTAATATAAAAAAGTGGGGAAAAAAACAGAGAGAGAAAGAAAGAGAAAGAAATATATGTCGAGCGACGTGAAAATGCGAGTTTGGTGAAGTAATAACTGTTCTACAGTAATACGATGCGTATGGAGAAAGAAAGAGAGAGAGAAAAAATGAGCGCAGTAAATTTTAACTCACCGTTAACAACGTGCACTTTTATGCTGCTGGGATTCGCGTTGCTAGGTTCGCAGCGATAGATCCCGGAGTCGCTCGGCACGGCCTTCTGGATCATCAAGCGACTCGTTGTTTCCGGACCCTTTTCCGTGACGAGACTGATTCCGCCGCGCGGCGAATCAAAATTGATAGTCTGAAAAAATTGCAACGCACACCCGCATCTTTAAAGATTGATTCAGCAAAACCAGTTGTTTTTTAAATTGTTATAATAGAAACAAAAATCTTGTGAAAAGAGAGAAAGAGAGAGAGAGAGAGAAATGAAACTGAAGAACCAATCTGATATATAGAAATATATAGAAATATATATGTATAGAACAGATATATACGGAACAAAAATTTTTGTAACAAATGAAAGATCACAGCCTCTTTCTTGCGCGCGGCGACACAATTCACAATGGAAAAGAAACCTATATCTCGATTTGCCGCAATTGCGAACCGGTAAGAATTGAGAAGTCTGACGGGTAATAGCTCGAGGGTGAAGGTGGTAATACCGGAAATAAAAGCTAACTTTTCTTTTGATTCACGTCGCCTAATACCGAACACGCCGTATGCGTCTCTCGTCCGCAATCATTCTCTCAAAGACGCCGCGCGCCTGTTTCCTTACGTTTTTCTCTTGAATCCTCTCGCTCTCACCCCGACAACGCAATGACGCCCCTTTACCGGAAGATAAAAGGCGCCTTCCTCCGAGGTACGAGGCAAAGAATAGCAGACAGTGTATATATGTTTCTTTCGTATTCCCTTTGAGGAATAGACACGTAACGGTACGCCCCGTGCACAACGTAAAATATCCACCGCGTTATCTCGCGGTTCTTTTTCGTCCCTCAGTTTTTTTTTCTCGTCTGCTTTTTCTCTCATCCGCGCGACGCGCGAGAAAAATAGAGCTATATCTCCCGTTTCGCTTACGAATGAAACAAAATGATTGTCGGCGAATCGAGAACCGCGAAGGATTAATCGGAAAATAATTCCGTTTCTTCGGAGCTGCTCTCGAAGCGCGGCCGATCTTCCTATTTCGTGTTTCACTTTGATCAACGTGCGCGATAGTACCTTGCGAAATTGCGTTGCCTGCTGTTTCGCTCTAGTAAAAGCACGTAGGAACGCAGGCGGAGCGGGGATGTATCGTCGACGACCGATAGCGCGCAAGTATATTAGTGATCAATCGAGGAATTACCGTCTCTTCCGCTTTTTGTTTTTTTTAATTGTGGTTTTTATCGATCGCTTGAGTTTTTAATACGAATATCTCATTAGCACACGCGTGTTGCGGCGGAATAATCCTCTCTCGCGAGAGTGATACCGAATGTGAAAAATACCTTATTGGACCGCAGACGGGAATTGTAAATTATCCCGTCATCGCGCATATGCGATATAAAACAATGTCGCGAACACGTTACGTCGTAAAATTATTTTAACAAGTACGCCAATATTAATGGGTCGCGGGACGCTAATGCGTTCTTTGTGTTCCCGCGAGGCGCGCGTTTACAATAACTTGTATTACACAAAGCGATATTAAAAGCAAAATGCATTTCCGCAACGCGGAAAGAAAATGCTCGTCAACCGACCGTATTAATCACGCGTGCTTGTTGCCGGACGCGGCAAAAGGACGCGTCATTATGAGTCATTAAACTCGACAAACTCGAAAAAGCGCGTAGACGTGGCAACCTCGAATCTGGAAGATTTTGAATTAATTCCTAATTACACACATTAGCACAATTTGTTACGTCGTAAATTAATTGAATTTGTACAACGATTCGAGCACGCAATTTAGTCAGAAAAAAAAAACAAAATAATAATAAAAAACAAATAATAATAATAATTTCGAACACGTATCGTTCCTTGTACTAAGAGAAAAATATGTTTGCTGTAACCACACACATGGTTTGTTTCGGAGTCAACTACTACAGTTTTTAAAAATTGTCTCACCTATGCAATTGCGCCTGTGAAAGTATAATGCTGGCTTTATGATAGTAATTATCTACTGTAAAAAGTGTGTCTCTTGAACGTAATTATATTTTACTATTGTATCTCCTGTATCAAATATATTTTTTTTCTTAGTGTAACGACGAAACAACTTAGTTTTTTTTCTGTAAGTGATACTCACATCCCCGTTATGACTCCAGGTCATCGACGGTGGCGGCTCAGGAGCATATTTTACCACGCACGTCAGATTGATGGTGCTCCCCTTATTGACGAAGAGGTCCGGTGCTCCGACTATAATGGTTAACGGCTCTAAAACAGGGATGACGGTCGACTTGAGCCACTCGACTCGTGCAAGGTAAGGTCGATTAAACGACCATGGTATATCCGGCGATATAAATCTCGTCGTTATATTCGATATTTTTATCGCGCCACACACAACACTGGCGCCTTCCGTGGGGACGCAAGCTTTTGGGTCAATTCGCGTCGATAAGATCCTCTCTTTTGCCTATATGGCTGCTTAAAGCACCACGACGCGATCATTAACGGTATATCTTCGAGAATGTATTGCCTCGTACATGCATCACTTTAAAATAAATAACATGTGCGCAACATAAAAAAAAAAAAAAAAGAAATGCGCCCTGCCTTCCAATACATTGTGTGGTAATTCTTGAAGCTACGCGTGCAGCATATATCTATTGAAATAAAGTAGATTCTTTTATATTACAATTGTTTTGAGGTTCGAAGATTTATGTGGCTATTAGTAATTACAGCATTATTCTATTTGACTTTAATTCAAGTAGAAGTTCAAAAAAAAATAAATAAATAATAATAATAAGACACTTCAACTTTGCGTATTTAACTTTCGCGAAAGAAGTAGCTGAGAAAGAAAGCGTATTTGATTAAATGAGCAAAGAGTTCTGTTTGTTTGTAGTAGGTAAGTGAACTACATTTAGATATATTACACGCGCAAAGCAAGTACGGAGGCTCTCTTAAGCTAGAAGAAAACTTCCAAACTTATATTACATTTTGCGTAATCTTTGTGTGTGTGTGTGTGTGTAAAAATGTGTGTGTACGAGTCGAAAAAGAGAGAACTACGCGATCTTACTGGAAAATTTATTATCGCTCCGAATAAATACGTCTTTCCAATGAAGTCAAGTGCGATTCCAAAGTTCCGTCGCCGAAGCGAAAACTTTACCAAGAAAATTAGAAGTTCGCGAAGAGAGTCGCACAGGTAAGATCGTTAAGCGAGCACAATGGCGACACGATATTTACTGGTCATACATGATGTCGTTCTTCCGTTCTCTTGTACTTTTCTAAATTAAGTTAATGGAATACACACAAAGAATTGGGAGAAACGTTTGTTTGCTCACCGACTATTGTTAGATACACTTGATGGCCAACAGGCGGGGTCGTTGATATTTGGCACTCATAAATCCCGGAGTCCTTGCGCTGAGGATATCGTATCCTCAGGGTCCAGTCCTCCGTGTGAGGAGAGTGTAGTGCCTCGAAACGTTGGTCGCTTGTATAAGTGTAGCGACCAACTGTCAGCAAATGTATATCGCGATGCCTCACCCAGGAAACCTGAAAAGAGACAGTGTTCGTCGTTTGATGTGTCGCGTGTTTCGCCTGTTACACAGATAACTTTATTACACGGTCGTGATACGTTGTTATTAGTACACGCATAATGTTCATAAACGGGATTAAATTATGATATTAGTGTGTATATCATTAATATATTATTAATTTACTAAACTAAACCTTGTTATATTTCGATCATAAATTTTCACGAATTTGCGTGATATCAAGAGAATTGAGCGCCTATGTAATTTACATATGTAGAACAAAGCTGTTTGAGAAACTAATGTGATATATAGCTCTATATAGATCTGCTGTCAATATCAGAGGGGTTGCTGCCCTGACGATATATTTAACTATTTCCAGTGTGCGTTCTACACACGGTATATGCATATAATGCGTCGTTTGATAAATAAATTAGTAGCTTATTTGCAACTTAACGAAATTCCTCGCTCACCTGTTGTTGTATTTTTGCTGCGCGCAAACACACAGGGGAAAGTTAAACCAAATGAATTGAATTCACAGAGAATCGAGCTTATTCCGTGCCCGAGGGCTGCAAGTTCAATGCATGTAAGTTCCATTGGTGCGTTCAACATTGAAATACTCTCGTAACTAATTCCGCCTCGTCGCGACACGCAGGAAACGCTGCGCGCACGCGAGTGAGCGAAGCTAACGGATGGTTGATGCAATTTCATCGACTTCGTTCTCTTGAAGTAGCATTTACATTCGATTGACTCTAATTAACTGTGAAAATTGCGCAACAACCAGACAAAGTCATTTTTTTTATTTATTTATTTAGTATTAATATTTCATTGATGTAAAAAATCGAGAAAGGGTTTCGTCGAACGTGTAACAAATTGAGCTTTCACGAGAAAGCGAGCATCTTCATTAAATTAAAAAATGTTTCTGCCTCATTGATTATGTATAATAAATTAATTACGCGCGAGAAAAAAAAAACAACGTTCCGTTTTAGTTTGCAATTTAACAAGGTTTTCGAAAGTGATTTTTTTTTTTTTTACCCCTTTTGCCAGACTTACTGATACTTCCGCGCTTGCGAAAAGCTTAATAAAACGCTCATCGAAATTCTAACTCTTCGTTCTCGTGGCTCTCACGAGATCCCACGGTATCGAATAAAACGCTAGCAGAATAATTAACTTCTATCCTTTTCGAACCCCGAATAAAATCACTTCCGCGTCAGTGAAATCGATCAAGTCAACACGCTGAAAGCCGTTATCTCGTTTCACGTATTTCGCCTCTGATCAAACATAACAGTTTCACGAAATAATATAGTTTTTGGCAATATCTCCGTTTTTAATTCTCACGTGAACATTTTCGAGTCGTTTGAAAGATCGCAATCTGGTCTTTTTTTTGTCCGAATATATACAATGTATATACAATATATACAATGTATATGTATATATATATATATATATATATATATATAAATTTAATATAATTTATAGAATAAAAGAACAGAAACAATTATAATGAAATACGCCGTCACACCAGCTAATTCAGCAAAAGTGTAGATTTTTTTTTTTTCCAATCGCGAGAGAGAAGAGAAAGTCTCGAGAGAACAACGCGCTTTTCGGTTCATTTTACGGGGAGGCTTCGATGTATTAACCAATCGCGGGTTGACGTCCTCTTAACGAGAGTGAGTACGTCGCCATAGAGAGATTCGTTTTGTCCCGACTCGTTCTGCATCCGGCACCTGCGCCAGCTGGAGCTCTCGAGATGACACGACCGTGTTATTGGCATTAGCGTTGCCGGCTGAAAGCCAAACAAAATCTATCCATCGCATCCCGGGAAGCGGTGCGAGCGCGACAGAGATAGTTCGGCGCGTTGAAGAACGGAACGCGAAAAAAACAGAAGCGTCGCGATTGTCGTGCCTAATGCGTTATGCGAATGCAAAATCGGCTTTTGAAATCGATTCTACAAAGAGAGAGAAAGAAAAAGAGATTTGGCGCCGCAAGGGGTTTTAGGCTGGGATCGTTACACCTGATTTCACCCGAATTCACCGTCTTCATGTAGCTTTAAAGCCGTTGCAAAATGGAAGGATTACTCTTTCACCAAATTATTTCTCCAACTAAAACGTCGCAAATATAATAGAGTTAATTTGCACCACAAAATTCGATTACATACTTACAAATTACTTTCCGTTGAAACAAAAATTCTGTCGTTCTGTTGAAAACAATAATGCGAACTTAAAATACATCGCTACTTAAAAAAAAAACAATTCAGAGATCCGAATATAGACCTCGCGAGTTATTGCACAAACGGATGTAATTACTTTCGAGGAAATACGAAGCGTGTTTTCTCGTCTCGTCGGGAATATCGAGTCTACGCATAGACGCGGCGAGATCGCATTTAACCCATGCGGAGAGCGTTGCATCCCGAGCAATAAAGGGTTCAAAAGCCGCGGGCGTATAACGTTCTCGGAGCTCGTCTGTGTCGTGATGTAGGTGTGTGACGTCCACGATAGAGATTTCGCATTGTCCCATCTCAGCACCGAATCCAGGCACTTGCGCCAGCAGTTCGCGCGTATACTCGAGATGACGCGTATGTGTCATTGGCATTAACCGCTGCATTGTTTGGCGAGATTCAACCGAAACCTCCGCATGGCGTGCACGATACTCTGCACACGCCCGCTTAAACTCCCTTTCTCCTCCCGTTGCATCCCGGGTGCGCTTATATGACTCTACGATAACGGGGAGCGAAAATACGAGCGCGCATTACGCGGTTCGGGAGCTCGAGATGTTGCGGTATATTTATTGTAAAGAATTATGTGCGAGGAGGAGAATATTTCTCGCTCACACTTGCTGCGAGTTTTTTTTTGTACTTTCATTGAATATACGACCGACCGACTTATCGCGACGTATAAATTGCTTTGTTGTACTAATAGATTATTATTACGTGTACATATTGTATGCCGTGCAGTATAGTTAAATATTTTCGTATATAATATTCGCGATGTAATACTGTTTGCACTGTGACAAATGATCTGTAATATTGTATCTACATACAATGTTAATTTGCAATGAAATTTGAAACCAATAAGCGCGACGCTCATCACGAACGTGTGACATGTTCTTTTTAATTACGTGCTTTCTTAAGGGGCCGTAACACAAGGGAAAAAGAACGATTGCCTGAAGCGCATTTATAATATAAAAATCCGCATATATAAAAGTCTTTGTAGCGACAAGAAAAAGTCGCTTTGTACGCACAGCACGCTTTCTAATAATCTTAAGTGCTTGTACCGTAGCTTTTATTTCAGAAAGCGGACAAAAATCCCTCTTTCGTCTGAGAACGTACTGACAGCAGTAATTTAGCTTAGCGCGACCTGAAACGAGGTAAAGCGCGAGACAACGCGCACTCTTGGCACGATAGAAAATACCAAGAAAGAGAATCTGTGCAACGAGAATTCCTAATTCTCTTTGCCATGAGATTGCAACGATTAGAATCTGGGTTTTGTTACTTTAAAAAAAAAAAAAAAAAAACTATCAGACAACAACAGAAGCAAAGATATTAATTTTAAACACTCCGAACGATACGTTTGCTTCGAAACATCCAAAGGTTTCTCCATTCGCGCAATAATATTATTATTATCATTTGCTTCATATACCGTAAAACATCATTTACCTCTTCATATTGCGCGCGACGTGTGTTGTCGGCATCGAAACGAATTGGAAGTGCACTCAATACAAATTTTGTGCATTCGGTTCAACTCCGTGTGATCACAGTCGCGCATTGACAGCACTCACAATTGTACGCGCTATCCCAGAATATTCAGTAGAACCGCTGAGGAGAGAAGAGGAAAGAGAAGGCTCAATGTTTCGATTAATATTCATAAATCATTACGGAAATCGTGTAATATCGCGCGGCGCAAATACGGCGAGAGATTGTGGCCCGTGTTCGCGATTATGATGCTTCGTTTATCAAGTTTTTACATCGCCCGTCGAATCCCCGCGCCCGTTAATCAACGGACTATTGTGGATGTTTAAGCCGCGCGTTTTCGAAGCATGAGCGGGCGATTATGAGTCGCTCTCTCACGGTGTTTCGCGCGGCGAACCGCCAATTATTACCGGAAGACCGCGAAATGGATATTTGAAAATGCGGAAAATAATCGCGGCCAATAATTCGATGTATCAAATGCGATGCCGTTACGATATCGCTTCACAATGGCGAGATTTACATTTATGTATGTACGACGAATATGTACATGTGTATCGCTACGCGACAATGATCACACGTGCGAATCCGTCATTGAAAAAAACACGTAACAATCACGTTTTTTTCAGTAATAGTTAATTAAAATACAGAATAATTGCTTAAAATATATTACGATAATATAATGAGAGATGACCTCCGCTCTCGTGGCGGTTAATCCAATTTAAATGTTTAATTTTGCGGCAAATGCGAACCAGTAGCAGGATATTACGCACTAATTATACTAGACTCGTATTTAACAAATTTTATTTTAAAATTTATTAAATCAAATAAAACGGATTTTTAAACTCACTCGATGTTTTCTTTCTTTTTTTCGTTCGTTTTCAAGACAAATTGAAGGTTAATTTAAATTTTTTTATCATCAAACGGAAGAGAAAATGGGAAATATTAAATTCCCGCAATCCTCTTGCTATGTACAATATATTAACGTACTTACGTACGTTCATCGCACATACACGCACTTGCCCGAGAAGATAGTGAAGATTAGCGGGATCGAGATTACGCGATGACGTCGATCTGTTTGCCGCAGATAATAAACGTAAGCCTAACTTAAACCGACTCGAATAGATTAGCGCGTCTATGTGTTTGCTAATGAAGACAGCTATTATTATCCGCGATTATATTTACACTGGTTTCTTAGACGGCTCGAGCAAACAGCTGATAATTATGCATCTTTGTGAATAGCAACGTAGCAAGATACAGCTTGATCTCTCGACGCTATACCGCGATAGAAAGGCATCGTATACCACAACAGATCAAACGATAGATATATACCGCGTGAGTCGATAAAGCAAGCTCGAAGAAAACGGGAATGAATATTGCGCTAGCGCGCAACTGTGGAAGGCTTCTGTAAACCTTCGCGCAACAAATATTCTCTCGCGAGCTTTTCTATTGAGAATAAACACGTCGATTCCGCGATGATGAGAGAAGAACGTTGTAACTCGAGCCGTTCGATCGAACATAACCGAGCCCATATCTATTCTAATAGTGCAATATCGCGGTACTCTCAACACAGAAACGAGCCGTCGACGACGAAACGTCTTCGGTTCGATTTCTGAATGGAGGAAAATGCGCCCCGGTAATTTCGTGGAAATTACCCGGCGGTTTTATTACGAGCACACGCAAATCTGAAATTTAGATGTAATAAATATGTAGTTACGTGTACAGACAAAACTATCGACATGCGGAACCGGCTTCGTGGCGGCAGCGTTACTAAAAAAAAAAAAGAAAAAAAAAGGAAAAAAAAACCAAACATTTAGAATGAATTGATCGCGCACAGTCATGCTACGTGTAGATATTTTAAGTGGTCACTCCGTAATTCTCCACTCTCTTTCGAGCACGCGTTTATTCGACCGTTTGAATAAACGGAACGACATGATATTACATATAGGCGGAAATAACCATGGAATATCCGCGCGCGAAAATAATATCGCTGTTAAACGCGGGAGTGCGAGCGGCAGTTCGAATTTAATTCGCGACGACAGAAACACGCTCAAACACCGAAAACATTTTCACCCGGAATAATCTAGCTGAAAAAGAGACAGAAAAAGAGAAAACCGAGAAACTGAGTTTACGCGACAAGGAATTTCCGAAGAGCGAAGTAATTCGTCGACTCGCGATACAAAATACTTGGGAAAGGGAAGAGAAAAAAACATTTCCGCTTGCTGCATAAGAAGAGCGGTTAATAATGCAGGAACATAAACGCTAACATCGCTTGCTTTTTTCATGAGACGCCGGCACTGCGCACGATGAAGGAACAGTAATGTTTATTTAATAGCCCCCATTTACGTCGGACGAACTGCGCGCCGTGTAAGAACAGCGATTTTATATTTCATAAACGAGAGGCCTCGCGGAAATGCGCTCGCATTGCGCGCGCGATTGCCATCGCACCGTAATTATTTCACAACGTGACAATATAAAGAGAATAAACGTACTTCATTCTGAGAGAAGAAATCTCTACAATAAAATTTTTCATGTAAATTTAATATTTTTATATACGGTAAATCGTGAGAAAATTCTTGTTGAAGAAGCTTTCAATTTCTGAATGAAAGTAGTTTCGCGTATATGCTCGCGACAAATACGATAAAAAATTCAATGTTTGTTTGAACGTTTTGTTGGTTTTTTTTTTTTTTGGAGAATATATTCTTTCGCAGAGGTGACAGTTTAAACTTTCCAGAGGTTATAGATCGATTAAAAGATCGTTTGTAGGGGATAGCGGGCGAATCTGGCGACGTGACGCGCCGTTAAAGTATCCGCTACGATCGCGAGAAAGGATCGCAAGGTCGTTCGTGCGGTCCTATCCCTTAAATTATTCAACAGCGACGAAGGAGTATGGGGAGAGACAAGCTGGCCAACGCTGGCCAGCACCGCGTCCGCTTTGAGCGAAGATATAGCACCTCTGGTCACGAACCAGACGATGGATTTTCCGATGGCTCACCGTTCGATTCCCCAAGTTCTTCACTTTGCACACGAGATGCACCGTCTTTCCCACCAGGCCGGTGAAGTTGGATTGCATCGAGGTGTCGAAGGTGGGCCCGGTGCCCGGGGTCGGCCATTCCTCCAAAAAATCGGTCCGAAAATTTCGTAGACATGACGCTATACCACCTGGAAATACACAAATGTCCTGAGTGATTAAGCAAATCTTTCGTGATAAAGTTGATTTTTTAATCGAGAGAGAGAGAGAGAGTTTAGATACGTGCGGGACACACATTGTGCGATTAAAATACTTAGATTAGTAACAAATTTATACCATATTTTGCGCGCGCGTTGTGTCGTATTTGACGTATAGCTCACAGACACGAACACGTCTCAGTATGTGTTTCCTATTTCTTTATAACTCGGCCAGATTACGGCCGACACTGGAATAATTGAATATCCCGTAACTTTTTATTAACACGTCCGCGGAGACAGATACTCCGTGTAAGAATACGCGTGCGTGCTAGGTCGGCGCTTCCCGTGGGAATTTTTGAGCGACCGAGCAACTTTCGGGGAATTTACGACGCGTCATCAGACATTCAACGAGAGGCTACTTGACTCCCGAGGCGTCGGGGAAACTTGGGCATCAAGACCGTTAACGAGCGTCGCGCGTCACGTTGGGAATCGTATATACGTAACATCAACGTCACGGCGTACTGTCGCGTCACGTCAGTTCGCGCGTACGTGAAGTTTGCGTGGCAACGCGCGAACGGACCTATTTAAATACATCACATTATATCTTGACGTGACTGTGTAACGTTCCTTTTCGTGACGGCGGTGCGACGTTGCAGGTACAGCATGGATTTCCCCTGAAATCCGCGCGATACGCTCCCCACACGCATGCTGTGTGCACTCGCTAGAAATGCTGAGCGTATAGGTATCGCGCGCGTGCTATTCGAGAGAGAGATATTTCTCCCTCGCCTATAAACGTTACGTGCGGCGAGATTATTCTATTAAAATAGCTGGTTCTATAGGAGTCCGTCGCGTGGTAAAAATGCGATGTCAGATTTATTTAATGGCTGCTCAACGCGCTCTAAACATTTAGGTATAACGATCGTTTCAGATTAGAATGAATTATTAACATTGATATTTTTGCTCGTGATGACGTATATTTACTCGAAATAAGACGCAAGTTATACACACAAGGTATAACATACGAGGTATGTTAAAATTTTGAGAGAAAAAATTTAGTTAATCGAAATTTTTGCAACATCCAAAAAACCAAAAGATGCGACGCAATATTTTTTTCAGCGTACAATGTACTCACCGATTTTTTTTATATTAATTTACGAAATATTCTTTTACGAAATATTTTCCATGGAACGCCATGTTTTTTCTATCGAAAGCTTTCGTTAGAAAAAAGAAGCGTAAAAAAAATACAGATTGACGGTTGCGTATTTTTCATTCAAAAAAAAAAACGAAAAATCACGACGCGAAACGAGTTTCAGAAGTAGTTCTAGTTCCGAGCAATTTTGCTTTCAGTCACTCTGGATTTCGTTAACTCCAGCAACGGCCGCCTTTGATTAACTACAATTTTCGGTATAAAGTCACTTCGCTGTGACATACAAATGGACGAACATCGCTCGCAAAATAACGACCATCTATATTGCTACGCACACACTTTCAAATGTTTTTTTTATTTTAAAATTTCCGCGGAAACGACAAACATTGTCATTAACGAAATACGTATCGTTAACTTCATCACAATGCGATGTAATATTTGATAGAGAATCATTCTTCGCGTTATATCGTGTTATCAAATTACCGTCAATGTTTCCAGTCGGACGTATAATTTCTCTTATTAAATTTTTATTAACGTCACGAGTTCATAATTTTCAAACGATGCGCACAAAGAGAACGCAGAATTATGATTATTAAATACAATTTAATTAATTATCTTTCTACCTCTCTGATAAATGTATTCCAAATGCATCCCACTGAAATGCATACCGCTTTTTGAATAAACAAGCATTTGCATATTTGTGTTATGTTGTACGAGAGTATATCTATATTTTTCCAAAGTAAAAAAAAAAAGATATGTGAAAGAAGGTACACGAATATAAATCACGGTGACATAGAGCTTGAAATTGAAATAACCGAATAGCGTTGCGCGAGCATTTTGAGATATCCAAAGCAAAAACATATAATTGCGCTCGATTCATAATGCTGAAAAATATTTTGTTTCCGTGATTTACGTTCTTACACTCGAATTCGCGCGATTCTTGATTAAGACGCGGAATTACACGATCCAACTGCTACGACGCAAATACTCTCCGAGTAGCACGCACGAACTATCCTCAACTCCGAATTGCACTTCCGGATCAGCCGTGTTCGGGCAAGCACTTTCTCAGTTGCGAATTATATTTCGTCAAGTGGCTCACAAAGCTAGACAGCCGTGCGCGCCGCGAATTTCCGACTGCGCAATGTTTAGGGACGAGTTCGCGATTAGTACAGAATTGCGTGCACTATCTTGCTCCGTTCGCGCGTCGGAGTTGATCTCAGCTGGCACGGGGATAGCTTGCCCCACTTCCTCCGTTGCTTTGTCAGCAACGAGAATAAAGACCGGAGAAGACCCCTCGCGAATTATCGTAATTTAATCAGACCGCCTTTCAGACGCGTTAAACTGTGAAGACATTATTGTTGTTGCGAAATCCATCTACACGTTTATGTACACGTAATTTACGAGCATTAAAGTTGATTTAAATTTTCGAGAAAATCTAGGAAAATTTTCTATTTGCGAAGTGACGATGAAGAAGGAGGAAAAGTAAAGCGGAGAAAAGATCAAACATTCTTTCCTTCTTTTACCGCGTTATTTGAGTTTGAATAAAATCAATGTTAATTTTCTTTTATATATATATATATCTACTTTCTCATTTGAAATTGCGCTCGCGTGAGGAAACTGACGCGTTCTTCGCGTTCTCAACATTGCCGCAAGACAGCGGTTAATCTCGGACTTGAACGGGAGAATATAGCTTCCAGGTTCTTAAGCGCCACAAAGTTTAAAGACGACGTCGACGTGCGCGTAATATCAAACTTCATCGATGACGGGATTAAGCATAATCGCCATTGGCGCGGTCTGTTTTTCTTCGTGCCTCCAACTTTTGGAAGCGAAATACCGGCCGAAACACGACCTGCCGCAACATGGCCGCGCCATCAAGGTAATACGTAACTTCGCGAACCGAATGAATTTCCCGGGCGTAACATGCGCGCGTATTGTCATAAAATAATCCTTCCCGTAATTGCTTTTCAAAACTTTCCGCCGGCAGAAGCACTTCCGTGACGGGCGAGCTCTGCCCTCGCGAGCCTTTCGCTCACTCAGACCCGTTTCCGAGATTTCTCACGTGTTCAGGAAAGCGTTTTCGTGTGTTCGATGCGGGGGCGAGCTCGCGCGTCGCCCGTTATTCTCTCGCAAAATTAATTTTCCTATCCGAATTCTTCCGCAGAAAGTTTCGCCGCGTTCCACGCGAGAAAAGTTTCGCCTTTCATCGAAATTTCCGACCGAGGTATGCCAATTGGAACGACGATATTTATTTCCGTGCCGCGACATATGTACTTAATTTGAACCGGCGGTTTTAATCGGAACGTACTTAATTAAATATAGAAATCTCTCGTTTCTTTGAAGTTTTGAATATTTATTTCAGCTACTGTCTGTGTACACGTGACGTTATTAACTTGTTAATGAAGTTATTTGCGCGTTCTGTCGATTGTTCAGCACAAGTTTGTAAATATTACAATGTTATGAATAAAGTAGCTTCATTATATATCATATTCCCTATGCTCGGAATAATCGTCGATACACACGCGATATTAATCTTACGCGATCGCTATTGCTGCTCTGCATTCTAAATAGGATATTTAAATATGTACACATACGCGGAGGAGAGTTATATGCGTGCATTGGCATGAGCACGAAAGGGAAGTATTAAGTTATTAATAGCTTCGTTTCATATGTAAATTAAATTATACGGATGTGGAAACAGCTGATAATAACTAGTCACGACATTGCACACGTTTCATAATTCGCGATCAAATATACACAGCAATTTTTCGCATCGCAAAAAGCAGTCGAGTTGATCGCCGATACGATTGTTAATGCGAGACGACAAGCAAAATGTGCTGATGAATTTAAGTAGATTTTCGACGACGCGCGAAAAGCGATGGGATTAAAATCTCCTTAATGGGAAATTACGTTGTTGACGCGCAATGTGGCCTCGCTATTGATTCGAACGACTCCGTCGATAGATCGAGTTTTATGGTCCTTTTAGCTCCCGGGAAAGGACACAAGTTCACCCCTGATTATCGGATCGGATCGGGTCGGTCGGTCGGTCGAGAGAGACAGAGCTGTTCTGTTATGCTGGAAATTAATTTTGTTCCAGAAGCTGCATGGATTTTCTCTTCTCCTGTTTATACGTATCGACAGCAAACTTCACGGATGTCATTTTGCAATTTTTCTTTATTAAAATTTAAAACAACGGTTTAAATTTAACACATCGACAATTGCTTTTCTCCGCCTCTGGGGAAAATACTGTCTCTTTTTTTTTTTTTTTTATTCTATATACATCCTCGCTGTTAACTTACTGAATTAAACATTAAAAAAATTGCTTGAATTTCAGTTTTTTTTTTTTTAGATAAAGTAATGTTTACATTAAACAATTATTTACATTATTTCTTTGACATTTTTCGTGATATCTTGAATCTCGCTCGGCTTATCGTTTCGTAACATCTTCATCTCCTCAATGTCGCTTCACGATCTGCAAATATGATATGCAAACTTGAAGAGAACTGATCGCTCCTCGAGATATACTCGAGACACAAGAGATAGATAGATGAAACGATAAAGACGCGTCCGCGACATAAGTTTATCATAGACGAAGGATTGCTCGCGATATCCCCGACCGGAAATTAATTTCACGCTCGAATCCACAAGCACGATTTTTGCGCGAATTCGATCATCCGCTCGTCGCGCGCATTAACGTCGCGTCGTCGTCGTCGTCGTCGTCTTCTCGATCCGCCGTGATGAAATTTCGACGAAATCGTTTCGATGTACCACTACTACGACAACGGGGGGAGAGAAGAATATCACCGCAAACTGATCGATCTCGAAAATTGGAACTACTTCAAGTCGCGAA